TCAGTGGAATACGTAAGAGGTGACGAGCGGCCAAGTTTTGCTTTGGAATGTTTGAGAGGAAGGCAGCACCAATATACAGTTCATGCTTTTCGAGGGGCTCGCCCATACCCTTCAGACTGTTTGTCTGACATACGTCTCACTGCTACTGACAGAGCTGCCCTCAAGGCATGAAAGTTTTAAGAATAAGAAAGTCGTCTGAAATTAACATGTCCCTTCCGAGGGTTGTCTCTGGATGGGTGCTCTGTATGGCTTGGAAGGCAGAGAACTGAGCAGCGAAACGGACGACAGATGACAGTGATCTTCGTAAGTTCCTACGTGACATCGGCTGCAATTATCCGGATAAAACGATGAAGGCTAATTGAAAGGATGAGAATCGCACTAAGATGCTCAATTTCACCAGTGAGTGCACTGAATAACGTTTCTCATTCGGTATACTAGAAAATCTACAGCTCGCGTTGAAGGGTCGAGTTTTGTGGGCATATTTGAAGCACACGAACAAATTGGGGTGCATTGATCAATGCGGCCTAAACAGCTGTTTTAGGACTCATACGTCAGGACAGATTGAAAAGTTTGCGAAACTCGCTTCAACAATTCAGATCAAAATGGACAAACCTTTATGAACCGGACAGTTGAAGATCGCACCCAGCTGTATCGTAGAACGACCCAGTAGGGAATCTGACCCCTGTGGTTCTTCAGATCGAACAAAAACCTCAACAACAAGGGGTGTCGCTGCAACACGTTCTCGCAACTATGTGAAGGAAGAAACGGAACAAGTTAAGCTCGATCTGGTGGTGGCGCAACATTAAGAGCGTTCAAGTGAACTATGTCCGCTTGTATTTAGACAATCCGACGTATGTATACCTTCGAGTTGAGATGACCTCTACACATAATATGATTGGTCCATATCCAAGGCCGAAGATGGGTACCATCCTGATGATGTAAGCGAAAATGAGCCCTAGCATAGAACCCAACGGAAGTCTTTGATGGGTCAAAAGGAGGCCAGAATAGTAAACAGTATATCGATGACGATTCGGTTCAAAAACCGAAATAGAACAACGACTGACAGGACCTCATCAGCCACAAAAACACCGAGGTTGATTGCAAGACTCATCCGCGATAGTGACAGAAGTGAATTCGAGAGATAACCCAAAATACGGTTTGTGTGTATTCTTTTGGACTGACCTTGGAAGTTGGAGTAGTTGGCCTCTCATGCAATAAAGATATCTACATCAAAGATATAATCAGCAGTTTGAGTTTATGGAAGAAAAACCAATCATGCGGCTAACACGGACTGAGTTTGTTTCATCCATTTAGTCGTCGACTCGCGCCTGAGCCTAGTTCACGTGTTGGTTTAAAACCCCTATTTGTGTATGTGCAATTCATGGTTGTACGTGGGCTGGGATACTGCCAGGGCGCCCACACCTAGACAGGAGGACGATTAGGGTCCTCAACCAAAGCCTTTGGCTCAAAAGCCTAACCGCAAGGCAGCGGTGTTTGGCGGGAAATGCAAATGCATTACCATTTCTACGGAACAAGTCGCCATACATGTTCCAACCCCAAACCTGGAGGACCAGGAGACTGTGTTCGTCAGACCTCTAACCATTGACCAACCTGGTGTGAGAGACTCTGTGAGTGTCGCGGGACACTCTCCAGTATAGCTCAATGGATCGCTGAGGTGCGCAAACCGTCACACCACGGTAAGGTCCAGTCTCTTCGTGACGGCAGTGAAGCATCGGTGTTGAACACTGATGTCATGCTGTCGATGATGATGATGATGATGATGATGATGATGATTACAACCCCTACAAATGGGTTCCAAGCCAATGGGTTCGCCTCTGATATTCGCTGAATAGAAGTGGAGGACTCCATTCAGGCTTACCATGACATTCCATTGAATCACATCAACCAGTGCTGGTTCGTTATCTGGAAGACATGAACGTCGCATCCAAATTGAAATTTAAGCACTAGGTCCAGCATCTAGTGGACATTCAAGAAATTCTAGCTTGTGCTTAGCTGGCAAGCAAACAGCAGTTTAACCGTAGGTTAGCCCAGTCACCCACATACTTGACTATTCAGCCCACAGTCGCTCACTGGATCACGAGACTTGCCCTTTTTTATACTCACAAACCACGTCACATTAAGGCGACTCATCGGACATCGATTGTCTGTACCGTCTAGTGAGCGTAGCAACTACGCATGTGCTGACACCCTCACGCAAACGGACTTACATATAGGGAGACCGAACACAGGGCACACAGACTCGCGCGCGCGCAGGGAGCAAGGGTTCAGGTAAAACACTTCAAGTCCACGGACAATCATGGAACACGTGTAGCAACTATATTGCAGGGAAAACACGTTCCCGCAGTCCGGACTTTCACCATACGATAAGTTCCCTGTTGACATGCTCCAGACTTTATATTCCCTTTATTTTATACATGCTGCGAATCGCTTCTGTAAACTACTGTCAACCACAGTAAAGATTGTTATTAGTGTATATACCTTCTGAGTTGTGTTACGGCCATCAACAGCAGTGCACTAATAAAGTCACTTATCTGCTCAATTTGCTTCCTGGATTGAATTATTCCCATCTGAGTCCCACATAAGATTTGACGTCATTACTCTCAGGTCGAATAGACCACAACAAATTCGAAACTACCTTGGGAAGAAAATCAACGTACTTCTGGCAGGGATGCAGCAAATTCAAATGCGCAAAATCCATTCGGTAGAATCACTTCCTCATTTCTCGGTAGGGCTACCGGAGGCATCGTCATCACTGGGGCTCCACTTTCGAATGGTGGGTATACGTATCTACAGCAAGTAGTGAGATATCTCGATTAAGTTCACCTCCAAACGAACTCAAATAGCCCATACAGATCAGTTATAATATTCCTAATTGTACTAGGATACAAGAGAATTTAGGAGAAGAATCATAAAATGTTCCAATTTTGTCTCAGAACCCAATTCCAAATCAAACCTGTCAGGTACTCTTTCCGTCGAAATGTTTTCTGTATTACGCTGATCGTTATCCAATAAGAAGTAGTAGTTGAAAAGTAGTTGAAAGAAAAGCGTGGCAACTTCGCCAAACACGCTGAGGGTTGTTGGCCAGTACCGTACACGGCAACTAAACTGTCGAAGTAACTACTGCTGAACACTTCCCAATGTATCTTCGCTTTCGTCAGTCGCGGAGTTGGATCTCTAACTGCACCTTTAACACTTCCTACACGTCACGTAACATTGACAACAACGTAGTTCTGCAGGTATTCAACAAACGACGGCAAGTAATCCCACGGCTCTGTTAGAGTGGATGGTCTTGTAGCTACCCGGTCACCCACATACTTGACTCTTTAGCTCACAGTCACTCACTGGATCACGAGACTTGTCTTTTTTTGATGCCCACAAACGTCACATTAAGGTGACTCATCGGACATCGTCTGTACCAGACCGTACAGATGAGCGTAGCAACAACTCATGTGCTGACACACTCACGCACATGCAAACAGACTTACATATAGGGAAACCGAACACGGTCAGCACACACAGACTCGCGCGCGCGTAGGGAGCAGGAGATCAAACACTCTCCACAAGTCAACGGACAACTATGGAACACGCGTCGCAGCCATACAGCGGAGAAAACACGCTCTGGCCGTCCGGACTTCCATCAAGGAACTCTCACAGATGATAAGTTCCTCTTCTGACTTGCTCCCATTTTGCATCGTATTTATTTTTATACGTGTGGTATCTCACCATTGTCAACTATACTAAAAATTCTTATTAGCACGTACACCTGAATTGTATTATGGCCATTATCAACAGTGCAGTAATAATGTAACGAGGTCAGACTTAGAACGTTTCTTTCTTCAGGAAACCGTGGACTTACCAGCCGAAATCAATCCACTGGTAATTTTTTCCAGGTTAAGCACTGAAGCGTTCGAGTTGGAAAGAGTACAACGGACTAGAAGTCCTTGGTTAGAATCTCAACTGTCAAAAGGATGGTGAGCAATCTCATGGAGTCACTCACTGTCTGTCGAGTATTAGAGTGGCCCTATTCATTTTATAACGTGTACGGAGGCCAGCCGTCCCTAATAACCGAACACCACATCGTTTGGACGGATGTGTCACGTGCAGAACACGGGTCCTGATTGGTAAGAATGCCAGCCAATCCGAGTCAAGCACCTTTGACTCGACGCTTCTCGCCCCCTCACGGAGATTCTGGCACGACCTTGTGAAACACTCTGTGACTACCCTATAAATACAGTCGTAATAATTTTCCTGTCACCATAAAGGGCTGTGTAGAGCTACCGTGCCTTTTGATATACCATAGTGGGCGGAGCAGGAAGCCAAAGGACCGATACAGAGTTGCACGATCGTCCATCAAGACACAACAAAACGTTTTAGGTCACAGGCATCGGATGAACAACTTATACGGGTACGTAGAATCTGGCAACGAATATAACTGACTAGGCTATGATTTTTCTCAGACTCAGAACTCGCGCTGCACAGTTATTAAAGTAATAACTACCTAACTCCTCACACTAAACAACGTATGCAGCCTGAGATACACCAAAGGACTTGTTACTTACCTGGCGTACACCTTGGGTTCCCCATCGGAAGACTGAAAATACTTGAGGCTACGCAATTCAATTGTGTAACAGAAGCGCCGTATAGGTTCCCTTGGAGACGGGTTGACACGACCGACTTCGCACTGATTGACCCTGGAATCGTCACCCTTATCAGATTTTGTTAACTCTTTGTGTTGCACATCCTGCGTTGAAGATAAGGGTAGAAAATCACTCTAAAGATTGCACAGAAAATGAACTATTTTGGATAAAAAAAACTTTCCATCAGACTGTGGGAATTGACGCTATCAATAGCTGGGGTCATTGTACCATGGGCTACGAGAGAGAGCTAAAGTAGCTACTGAACGCCCGTAGCCCCCAAATCAAGCAGGAAGTGAACGTATGAACCGAAAGACTCACCGCTAGAGACACATGGGCTGCAGTACCTGTGAAACAGATAGTAAAATGATGTGTTGAAATTCAAGTTACCGTGAGTTCTTTCGTCACTCTTGCTCCGTGCAGGTGACCAGTTACGCTGACGAAGAATCCCCGGCACATGGTCTGCTGGTTCATTCGGCTTGACAGAGTCACTTACACAGATTGGCTGAGGTTCAGAGGATGCCTGAATTTGCGTGGGGGTTCGATCTTGAAGTTCTCTGAGTTGTAAACTGAATGAGATACAAGGCTTATCATCCTCGTCCATTAGTAGAACGGATGATGCGTTCTTGCCGGAAGGCTCAGCGGAGAGAAGCTGTTAAACAATTATGGGAACGATTTAGTCTGTGATCGGGAAAAATCGGGGCGCGCAAGCGACCAAATTCAGCTACTTAACTACCAAGTTCAGTTTCTAGCGTTATCTACGCGAAATAGCTAGTGAGTTTGCGGGGGTTGGGACAACCGACATTTCAGATCCATAAACAGTTCATAGTTTGGAGGGAAAATCTTTTAATATGAAACTAAAACTATTAATAATATTATTGTCAGGACGCGCCCAGACATGAAAAAGCACACGTGCAGAGAATAAACGCACCCCCAAGGTCACTCTAGGTACGACACGTTTCGGATAGCAGGTGCGTTGGCAGAGCTCACCAAACACGGCTTAGCAACATACCACCAGTGGAGTGGACTGAAAATGTTCACGACCGGAACACCGCCATTGGCTGTACAGAACGAACAAGTGAACCACCGTAGTGGCCCTGTAGTCATTCTCTACATTTACACAGAGGCTCTGAATGTTTTGTCCTGACAATACAGCCGTGTCCCGAGTTCTCTGTCTTCTCCTTATCGCATAGTCTGGCGGGCTCAGTGCAGGCGTAACCAATAGGCGGCCATCCACGATACAACAATGATGAAGAGCATTTTCCACCACACGTTAGCCACATTTTTACCAGGATAAGGTAGGTCAAGAAAGGAGTACCGTGGGGTCTTTCGTGTATTTCGCAGAAATTTTAAAATAAAATGTTGAACGGAGCCGTAGTTTACACGTTCGAACGGTGAACCGTGTACTCACAATATCATAGTCTCCCGTGCTGCAGTGCACTAGGTACTGGAAAGCTAGAGGTAACATGCGGGTTAGCGAATCATTTTCGGAAGGTCAGATTTCCAGAAAACTTCCATTTTATCATACGACCTTAGCTCGTTTTGAATACAAAGGCACAGGCGATATTCTGCCCTCAGGGAGCTGCTTTTCTATCCTTTTTCGCACTATACACAAGGAATTTGCCAGTAGCCGGGTTTCTCATCGGTTGCCTGTATACCAATTGCATCGCCTTCGATTACTCTATCTCTGGTCCTTTGCATTCAAATGTACTCGAGGATGGCCTTACTGAACTTCGGAATGTGTCTCTCCACTGTTCTCTCGGCTTGATGGGGATCTGTTGTTTAACCTCACGACAAACACCTGTTACGATTTATTGCACCACAGACTTCAGTTTCCGCTTTTAATCCATCTGCCCCTGACTGGTCATCCGAAAACCAATGCATCACTTAGTAAAACAATGGAATCTAGAAGAACGTTGGATCAATATACTCTCGAGTCCCTTTTCAAATTTGTTCCTGTCTGTATCGTTCCACTCTAGCAACATCATCATCCCACCTTTTCCCTGAGACTGAAGAGACAAACTATGTTTCCTTGAAAAAATGCTACTCACATCACGAAGGTGAGATTCAGCTGGGATTCAGTTGAGTCGCCCGTAAAAACCAAACGGTTTGCAAATGAGTGAATTTTGAGACCACATTTTGTTTGTTAAACATCTAAAACACACACAAGTGAATATTGTTAACCTCGCCAGAGACATCCATGTTGATTTCATCTTTGGTACATTCAGTTGGTCACGTGATAAGAATTGGAATAATCGTTTACCTTTCGGTGCCTAGCTGTCGTGTCACCCGAAGGAGGCGCGAGGACTGAGATCCTATCAGGTTGTCTAAGCCTAGATATGAGAGATTCTGAAACTGGATTCGAACCATGGACCTCAGGGTTACACGAAGACGTTTCACCTGATGTTATCCACTCATCCACACGATTATGTTATCAAAGCCATGCGAAATTCATGTACATGTTTACAGTTGAAGCTACTGCCTTATCGTAGATCAACTTATGGAGATAGGATAGTCCGGGATTCCTGTTCGCTTGCTGTTACACTTTTCACTGCCCGTTCAAAAGGGACCACCCCGTCGCATGAACTGTCCAAACTTGTTCTCGTCGTCTAGGACCTAATGTATAGTCTAAAAAACTCTGGAGCTAGGGTGAACAAACACCTCTTTCCTCGCACTGGTGGCCCATGGAATGGGACCAGATTAAGACACGTATCGGATGGCATCGTTGAGCTGCTTTCCGATGTCTTAAATTCCCGAATGAGGCGTTGGACGTTGATATAAGTAGGTCCCTCAGAATGACCTTCCACGTCAGCTTTGCCTTTCGAAAGCGTTGATTACTTGGAAAAAAGATTTAGTGAACATAGGGTGTGTCATACCTGAAAATGTCCCTCCAGGATCACAGCACTCTGTAAAGTGGAGTCGGCTGATGCCAGAAAACGGTCCGAGGCAACCAGAGCACGGGCCAGGCATCGCGTTCCATAGAAGAGTTTCACGGGGATCGGATTGATATGTTGGAAATACGCACGCAAGACATCTACAGTAGACCTGGAAGAAGGGTTTCGAATTCAAATATGCAGAAAAGATCCATGCGACAATGTGAGAGCAAGGCACAAGAACACAAAAATGGCCGAGAGATACTGCCTACCTGATGAAAAATTGATGTTCCTCCGAAGAAAGGTTTGTCTGCACAAGGCTGTCGAAACGTCTAGTGGCCACTGATGTCCCAAGGATGTCGCACGAAAAGTAGAAACCCGAGTGGCTTTCTGAAGATAAATCTTTAGTGATTGGGATCAAAGAGGCCAGGTTGTTGGAAACTTCTCCGAATTTCAAAGTGAGCAAGAATGACTTTTTTGATAAGGCTTTCGGTCCAATCACGTGCCATACTCGTTGGGAAGTGAGATCGGGTTAGGCGTTTTTGCTCAAAATCTTCACGTAGGGAAAAGACACGAGGTGTGAGGTCGGCTGCGGATAGACTGGTCCCAAAGCCTTAGGAGAATAACAGAATGATAGAGCCATTCAGATAGCTGATTGTACGAAACTAAAAGAATACCGTAAAACATCTTACTGCTGTCATGTTGATTTTCTGTCACCTTAGAGAGTTTTCGGTGGACTGTGCTGGGGGAACAAAAACGGGGTTTTCATCCCAACTGCCCAGATTTCCTATTACCTTTAATTGTTAGTCATGATGAAACATGTGACATGCGGCTTCGAGGCGAACATTTTATAACGGTAGAGTTAAAAAACAGTTTTCTATGATACATAGTGATCCTCAAAACGTGGCAATCACACTGACCGCAGCCTGGTTGTGCTTAAAAATTTGAAAACAGTTTTATTTTGTGCAGTCAAAGTCAACGTGCAAACAGCAGGCCTATTTCTCGGTTGTGTAAGGATGATTAGCCCCAATATCTTAGCACATAGAGTAAAATAGCATAGAAAAATGCCGATGTGGGTTAGTCTGAGAGGGCAAACAAGCAATCACACAGAAGGTATCATTTTTGGTCAGCCACGTGGTCCGAAATCGTTCTGTGCCGTTGATTACATACACAACATCACAAACCGAAGTGAGTAGGCACCTACTGGTGTAACGGTGATACTAGTGATGGAGGGGCATGTGAGTAGTATGTTTTCTTCCTGTAAATTCGCTTTGCATCTCTTGAAAAGGGAGATCTGTTGCGGAATTTGTGGAGTCGCTTTGTAGCATTTGCTTGGATTTGAGCAATTAATGATTTGGGTCAATGAATATCCAGGAAAGTTCAAAAAGACGCTCAGGAGAAGATGGATGTTTTTGTAAAAAAGATGCAAATGAGAGTTTTGCTTCCCTGTCCAATAGTCTGTACCTGGTCAGTTGGCATTTTATGATAAACAACTCCGCCGCGAAGGCCTTCTTCCTTCAACTGGCACAATGATGGAAATCCGGCAGCTTATCTGTACCATTTTTAAAAGAATGTTCATACGACGAACGTTGGTATTCGGGCATATGAATAGCAAGCACGGATATTAACATCAACAAATTGCACCCAAAGGCCAAGAACCAGCTTCCTACAGTAAGGCTAACGCTATTGCGCTGTTATACGATCAATTCACAACAAAGCATTTCAGACTGACAGTTCGAACGCTACTGACAGCAGTTAGTGCCTATACCTTGAATGGTCTGTATCCGGTGTCAGTGAAGATCACAGGGATTCCATTGTGGAAGGTGTACTAAACAAACGAAACCCCAATCATTTCGACATTTCTTCCACACTCTTCTGAAGTGTAAGGGGGAAAGCACAGGGCTCGGTAGACAATGATTCCGTATGCGCAGCAGATTGCTGACTCACTACTTACCAGTAGTCAAATGACTGTTTGAATAAGTCAACAGCCACTTAAATCAGGACTCACACCTAAATCTCACTGAGACTATTTTGAGGCCGCAAGTGGGGCTATTTGGCGGAGATGATCAAGACCTTTGAAGTGCCTACATCGATTCCATAGCACACAAGGCCGCCGGGTCTAACATAACTACTGAGACACCGAAAAGGTTACACAGTCTGTGGTGCGTCTACTTGATCCTCAGTCAATCTGTATGACGTTGCCTTGTGGGTGACCGAAGCGCATGCCAAAAAAAGGATATGAAAATGCACGGAGATGCCGCAGGCCTGTGGAAGGCGAAATAATTTTGAGTCAGGTGAGGAATCTTCCACGGTGGTCATTTTTGATACTTTGGGACTACGGCTATGACGGTGTTTTACGGAGTCCGGTAAGGTTAAAAAAACGTATCTGCCTCATCGCTTGTGAAGAAACACTTTTCTGAACTTCTGGGTAGAGACCAGTTGATCTCGATTTTTCCAGTAAAACTGGGGTATCCCAATTTAGCATGTGCTGCCTTAACTCTAAGACGACATACTCTGAAACTTCTCAACGATTTATTAGTATCCCATAGCTAGAGATACCCTAGTCGACTCAGTCCGACAATTATGCCTCAGGCTACGCCTACTTCCCTGTCTATACAAACGCTCATGTTCAGCGTGCGTAACCTTGAAGTAATTGGCCATCTGGATTGTCCGGCTTCACTGTGAACATCATAGTGCTCTCAACACCACAGACAGCTTACACTGAATGTTCTTGGTTCAGGCAAATTGAATTCTGTTTGAGGTGGATACTGATATCGCGTACACAAAAACTGCTTGAGATATCTCATCTGAATCCAACCTACGTGTCCTTGATAAAGCTCGCTACTCATTAGGCTGCTGAAAGCCAGGTCCAATGAGGTTTTGAGGGGACCTCAGGGACTACGCTTACTTGACGAGCCCATAAAGCGTCGAAATCGGGTTTTCGGCAACCATGAGTGGTACGCTATGCCAAGAAAATATTCAGCAATATCTCAAACATCATGTTAGTTGAAACGTGAAAAAAATTTTTTCCAGGACATTGAGTTGCACAAAACCACGAACGGGTTACCTGGTTAGCTGTCCCATTAAGTCCCAAAGTGTTCCGCTAATTCACCCGTTCTCTAATGCGAGTTCGAAGTGAACATCGAAAGCATGCTTCTCGCCAAACAACCTAATTGTCGGGAGACGATAAGTGAACGAACATCCTTAAAACAAAGAATGGTCGAGCACGTGCTTCCAGATAAGTTTGCCGCTCTGTTACCACCGCACTTATGTAGGGTAGGTCAAACTCAGAAGAAGACTTACCACTGTTTCTAGCAACAGCAGCGTAGTGGATCGACAGAGCACGAACAGACTTACCCGACTTCACCACTTGGACAGGAACCACAACGCCTTCGTTTGTGTCCAAATAAATCCCACAAAACACTTCAGGGGGCCCCTTGTACTTACAGTGCAGCAGACGAAACCATTTATATTCCTACAAAACATACGTATACGTTACCACAGCTTGGATTTTGCACCAACTTTGTTGAAAGAACAAGATCGTAAGTCCAGCATAAACATTCCAACGGCTTCCTTGACTGGGGTGCTCGTATGCACTGCGTAGAGTTGAATTTTAAGGACGGTTCTGTGCAACCGGTGTTGCTTGAGCCGGGATCGGTCCAGTTCCCAGGCAAGTTCTTGTTCAAACACCGGTTGGACGGTGTGAGGCATAGGATCAGTTGAAAGGACTTCATTGTTAAATCGAGCCTCACAAACTAGATGATAGTCTGGTCGTTCTGGAAAGTTTCGACCTGCAGAAGGAAGAGGGGAAGGGGACGGAAGAGACTTTGACAGACGTCGTGAAGAGTCTTGGATCGACGAAAAATCACTTATTTTTATTTTGACTTTCTTTCCGTGCATGCTAGCCTCAGAAAGAACGACTGGGTTTCTAAAGAAAAAGCGGTATTTCTGATAGCCTATTGTGCCAACCAAACCAGACGCTTCACTTGCCCTCAAATTAGACGATAAAAGGAGCGTCCAATCACGAACAATCATACCTCTCAAGGTACTAACCACTCTTTGGATGATCAGACAATATGACATCCTCGCCGAAGTTTGAGAAACGCATGAAGCCATCGACCGAACCGTAGATATCACTAAATTTTAGTCCCCATTATACGTCAAAATTAAGACTTCGAACTCGGTAAGTTTGTTTGGATTCCGGTTCAATCAAATACTGACTTACTGAAATGAGGCCGGTTTGTTGGTGATCTGTGACAGCTCAGGCTTCCCATTTGAATCAAGAGACTTCGGATAAGATAGGTCTACAAAAACCGTTCCTGCTGTGACAGCTCAGGCTTCCCATTTGAATCGAGAGACTTCGGATAAGATAGGACTACAAAAACCGCTCCTGGCGGCGGTTAAGCGACCATCACCGCTCCATCAGTACAAGTAGTCGTACTCAGTACGGAAGAGTTAGTCGTCCATTATTCTGGTCAGATTACCCAACTACGGAGTGGAACATGTCGATTGCTGACGCCGAACCCTATGTGTGTGGAGAACAAATAACTGTCACTCGTAGAACCATCCAGTGTTCCACGGAAAAAAATGAGCGAAACTAATTTGGCATCAGCGTGGTTCAGAAAGTGATAACTTCCAAGCAAACACGGTACACTTGGTAGGCTTATACGAGAAGTTATTGTTTCAGTCGCATACGCAAGGAGTTTTTGACGTTCCGTCTGTATGTGTGCGGTGAAATACAGAATAACAGGATGACAACTCATGACCGCCAATATGCACAAGCCACTGAACTATGACTGTCTCTCGCGTTCGATTACTGTTCAGAAATATCACCGATTTTTGCGCAGCTTTCCCCAAGTAAGACATTTTTCATCTTATGGAACAGTTTGTGAGTGATGAGGTCAGTAAAACGCGTTAAATTTCGCTAGAACGTTTCAGTCGTATTGAAAAGTCCGGAAAATGTGAGTCGGATTTGTTCCCAAGGTAAAAAGAAATTTTTGAGATATATTGATAACTATACTATACTATACTATACTATACTATACTATACTATACTATACTATACTATACTATACTATACTATACTATACTATACTATACTATACTATACTATACTATACTATACTATACTATACTATACTATACTATACTATACTATACTATACTATACTATACTATACTATACTATACTATACTATACTATACTATACTATACTATACTATACTATACTATACTATACTTCGTTAACCTTAATCCGTTCTGGATGGCTCAGTGATTGCAGCGCGAATTAACTGATTAAAAGATCCGTGTTTCCAATCCAGGCATCTCGAATACTCCCACCTAAGTTTGGGTAATCTGATAGTATCTCATCCCTCATGATTCCCTCGGGTCGTATGACGTACTGGAAGGGTGTAATAACTGAACGATCATTAGTTATTTACTGTGCGCCTTAAGAAACAGCTGATTTAACTCCAGCACATGCCAAACACTCTTAATGAAACCAATGGGGTTGACTGTTTTCTGTGAGATGTCCCCTACACTCCAACGATAATGGTGATATCTTACGTACGTGGTCCACACACTGCTGTTGTAGTTATGGGGTATCTTTTCATGCCTGTGCTTCACTCAACCTAAGACCGTCAAACTGGAAGACAGTCTACTAGGCTAAACCACATTTGTGGTTTACTGCATCAATCCACACCAATAGAAGACATGGTGACTGTAAAGAACGCGTCCTTGTGGGAGGTGCGGCTATTTCCATGCACTTGTCTGTTTATGAGTACACGGACGGTTTCAGTGGGTTTCAAGTCCAGACTATGAGTTGCTCAAAATAGCAACTAAATACAACCGACCGAACCAACTATGATTTTGTGAGACAAGCGTTATGCGAGGGTGCGTTACGCTATCACAGACACCGAGGTACTTATTCAACATCGTTACATATGAATCTGACGTCTGTTTCCCATCAAAGCATTGCCACTTGACACTTTTTTGAAACCATAGCTCAGCAACCATGATGACTTCACCCACTGCAAGCCCTTTGTTCCTTTTACGGATCAGTAAACCAACCCGCTAAGCCATATGGACAATGCGATTAAACTGACTTCCCATAAACGAACACTTTTTGTCAACTGTACTTCCAAACTGTGGCAACCACAGTTTTTACTGTTTTCAGAGACTTAACCCTCATCGTCGTCCACGGGCAAAGTAATTTAGTTGTTGAACTAAGCTTGATGATGACAGTCAGGATAAAAGCGCCTAACTTCAGTCAAATCAACTGGTAAGATTCGTCCCCATAGCCATTCTGTTTGCTTTGCCAAAGCTCATTCTACTGACTTCGCTTCTTCTTTAGGAGCAGTGTTCCGAAGGAATGTTGTTTTTGAATCTACCGATTTTTTTACAATATGGCGACCAATATTTGCCTATTTCGAGCTTTGACAACAATATATCATGTCCCATTCTCCAACTGACAATGGAAGATAGTGAACATGAAGCCTGAATGATAATACGACCTAAATGATCCCGAAGCCTTCAGATCGCTGCCCACCACAAATCCGTTCCGGTGAACCATTGACGGAAATATATTCCATCCACAACACTGGGTAAACCCGTCTTGACTGTAAGGGTTGTCTTTCATTATTCACCGTATGATGGATGATATTTCTCAGGTTTTTTGTATTCATTCCCAATCATATGGATTCAGTAACTGTCCGGGATAGGGTCGACTGATTTCAAAAATAAAGATCATCAGTTGAAAATGCGGAGATGGGGATCACATAAAAGGTGCCAGTATTGGCGCTGTGTACACTGTAAGTCTTGGTTTAGACACGGTCAGGGCCGATACGCACAAAAGTATAAATGTAGATACCCTGTACACTGGAATACTAACCTGAGATTAGTGCGGCGACCACCAACCAGCGTGGCTGCGGTAGCATCTTTCCAAAAGTAGATGCAACTGAAATAAAAACAGGAGTGATATGCTCAGAGCATTCATCTGTATATTTTTGTATAAGAGTAGCACAAAAAGAGCGTAGACAACTTATTCCACACCTTCTACTTAGTGATGCCGAAAGGGAAGAAAGAGGAGAGCGTTCAGCTGTAGCACCCTTCCGGCGCCTAGCTGCCATGCCACCCGAAGGAAGCACGAGGACTTGGATACTGTCAGCTTGCCCAAGCCTAGGCAGGGGAAGTCGAGAGGCGGAGGTCGGATTCGAACCACGGAACTTCCGGTCAGTAAATTCGCGTTCTAACCACTTGGGCCATCTCACCCCGAATCATCATCATTGTCCGCTGTAAGAACCGCGTACTGGTCGTACACTGGTTGTAGCTGCCACAGTTTCGTTCACCGATGATTGGGGGGGTAGGTAGCTGCGCATTGCACGCGCGAGCTGATAAATTGGTGCATAAATCTAGCACTGTCAGTGGGTTGTCAAGCGGGGGGTGGAAAAGGAGCTATGCATTGAAGGCAATAGCTTTGATGCACGAGCACCATTGAGGGCGCGACTGGGCCATGTCTGATAATGTCTCACCCCGAAAGAAGAGTCTGTAGTTATTCTGGCCGGTGAGAGGTAGATGGATATCCAACGACCATATGCCATATCTGTGTGCCCCATTAGTGTTTACTGGGACGACAGGGTGATGGATCGGTTGCTATAGATGAGCCCAGTGGAGTGTTACGGCATGCTGTAAGTGTAGACGTCAAATTGGACGCGGATGCACTCACTCTGTTCGATTTGTTCTCTGGGATAACTGACTTCCTATTCACATATGACTTGTAGTTTGTCATCTTTGTTAGCAAGATGTGATATTGAGGCCTTGGAAGAAATGGAGACAGCTGACAGAAATCTTAACTGCTAGATGGTCTTTTATCTAGCCAACTATGGTGAGTAGACGAGAGGTAAGGTAGGATCTGAGCTGGGCAATTTGATTACAAACGTTTAATCACCAATCGGAATGACATCATCAGAGCGTAGTGGTGCGCAGCGGTGGGCTAATGGTTGTGCACGGAAAGAAATGGAGTACAGCCGGTGGTAAAAATGTTTACTTCGAAGGGCAAACTTGAAACAGTATCCTAAGATGTCACCAGAATTTGATAGATAGTGTCGTAGGTAGCAGTAGTGACCTGGCTCTATCGGTACTCGGTATTTAAGATACCATGTGCGCCACAGTGTGGTGTCCAAGTGCGGCTGGGTGTTCAATGCACGCCACAAGTCAACTTGCTTGCAAGTTGTCGTGCTAGCCCTTGCAGTCGTTCATTACCTTTCGGACAAGCACAGCGCGCTTAGGACACGCAATCAGCGCGGGGTCTGACGTACAGTGATATAACTTGTCATCCGTTCGGTGTTTCGAGATCATGCGCAAGAAAGTGGATTTTTCAAGTGAAGATTGCAAAAAGCTCCTGATATTGAGAGATGACAATAAGATCAAGCAGTACTACAAAACTTCAAGCCCCTCTCACTATAGCAACTAGAATTTCAGGAAGTGGAAGCAGGGATTGGTACGTCGATGGTTCTTGGCATCTAAATGACAATAAGATCAAGCAGTACTACAAAAGTTCAAGCCCCTCTCACTGTAGCACCTAGAATTTCAGGAAATGGAAGGATGTATTGGTACGTCGATGGTTCTTGGCATCTAGCTTGCTGTAGGCGGCGCGCACTTCCTTTTGTGCAAAATTGCTGTAATCCAGGGCTTCTTATCTTCCGCGAGCAGCTGACGAACGGAGAGGTGCATTTGAATCTTTAAGAAATCAAGAATGAGAAGTACTCCCAGTGTGCTATACTCTGAAGAACG